ATAAGATATATCTCTATCCGGCCAGTATTGAAATAGTTGATATTCGTTCCCTGTATAGTATAATAGTGGTACTAATGTTCTCTGGCAGATTCCTCCACAACCACTTATCTAATCCCCTGAACGATTGATGAATATTGTTGTACTCAATACTAGCTACATAATGGTATAAGCTATGTCTCTATCTGATGAGTATTGAAAGAGTTGACATTTATTCTCTGGGCCATTTGTTACTATTCATACCCTGGCGATACCAATGTTCAATAGCAGATTCCTCCACAACCACTCATCCAATCCCATGAACGATTGATGATTATTGTTTGGCTCAATACTAGCTACACAATAGTATAAGATATATCTCTATCCGGCCAGTATTGAAATAGTTAATATTCGTTCTCTGTGTAGTTCACTAGTTGTACCAATGTTCCCTGGTAGATTCCTCCACAACCACCTATCCAATCCCCTGAACGATTGATGAATATTGTTGTACTCAATGCTAGCTACATAATGGTATAACTTATGTCTCTATCTGATTAGTATTGAAAGAGTTGTCTTTCATTCTCTGGGCCATTTTTTACTATTTGTACTCTGGCGATACCAATGTTTAATGGCAGATTCCTCCACAACCACTTATCCAATCCCATGAACGATTGATGAATATTGTTGTACTCAATGCCAGCTACATAATGGTATAAAGTATGTCTCTATCCAACCAGTATTGGTTGAGTTGGCATTCATTCTCCTGGTTTACTACTCTCTGGCTACTATCTTTCATTGGTGGTTGCCATATACCAAGAGTGGTTGCCACCCCCATATCTGGTTGCCACATACTATTTACCCACCTCTCTTCTCCCTTTCCTCACTTCTTCCTCCCTTTCCTCTATTTTCCCCAACCATTCTTCTTCGCTTACTTCTACTCTTGCTTACTTTCTCTACCTACAACCACCACTCTACCCTCTCCTTATACCAATACCAGCTATGGGAAAAGGTTTTATTTCTTTATAATCTGTTTTTATTTATTTCTACCATCTTAATTTTTTCTTTCTGCATTTAGCAATACATACAAGTGTCCACTTACTACATGTGGTGGTAGCTTGCAGTATTAGCTTTATCCTTTAAGAATTAATTTTGTTTGGCTAGTTTTACATATTCTATAAACCCTTTTTCCACTATTCTATAAACTAGAATTTTGCTTATTTTATTGTAATATTTTTAGTTCAAAAAAATAAGCATACTGAATTTCTTCAGAGTGTTGGAGCCTGGGCAAATACCAACTCGGACTTTTTGCAACTTCTTCCACAAAGCTATAGACCAGCATCTCGCCTACAACTCTTTACCATCTTGCAAACCAAATTTCCTTCCTGCAGTTCTGATCCTATGAAGCTATTCTCTCAGCTTCTTTTCCTTGCCACCACTACTTGGAACCATGGCCCTTATTGCACCACTTTTGCTCCTCTGCTCCATTCTATTCAAGAATTTCAAGCCAACAGAAACCAGCATAGACAGAAGCGAAACTCTTTAGCCTACAACCTTTACCTTAGCCTATCTCCCAAAGTTAGAGACCTACAATTTTTATCCAAGCTTTCTTCCCATACTCTTTCCTCACTACTTCCCTCTGATATATATCCTCCTCCCAACCACTGGATCTATGAATCTGAGGAAATCCGAGCACTCTGGGAGTACCACCTCAAGCATGGAAAACAGCCTGATGCTAGGCTAAAAAGACACCCTCTTCAGCTTTTGGATGAAAGCAAACTGAAACTTGATATTGCTGGAGATGAAAGTGCAATTATTCAGGATAAGGCTACAGGTGAGATAGTTGCCATGGTTTATAGAAACTTCATGCCTAGTCAATACCATTCTATTCTTGAATGGATTAATGCAACTATTCTGGCAAGTATTGGGAGAAAAAAAAGTGCACAAGTAAGCTCAACTCTTAGTTAAAGTTTCTCTACAAGCAATTGACATTTTACTAATTTTAAATGTCTACTATAGTTGGAAGATCCAGGAAAAATAGTCCAGACTGGCTATTCTGCAGGTTCCTGAAGCCATTCTCAGTTTGATTGGGCAAAAAATCTCCTATCCAAAACATATAGCACCCAGGAGCAACAAGAAATCAGTTATCTTGAGAGTAGTATATTTGCTCTATTTTGGAATATGGCTAGAAAGCTTATCCATGGTGATATTAGCAAGAATATTGAAGAGTTTCTGGAGACTGGAATTGCGAGAATGGGCAACAAAGGGAAACAAAAAGCCAACAACACTTATACTATCCAGTATGAGCAAGAGATATATGAGTTTAACCAGGGCGAGCTAGCCCCTCCAGTTGGCTTCTTTGCCAGCAATTACTCAAGGTATGTGGTAAGATACAAAATTTAGTTAGAAAAACTACTAACTGAAATCTTTAGGGCAATTCATAAGGAAACAGCTCCCCATGAATATAGTCTATTTTTGACTACAGAGAGGAGTCTAGAGGCAAATCAGGGGGGAAACTTCTTTATATCTGATTATGGAATCAGAATTAGAGGAGCAGAAAATACTCTGGTGGCATGGCAGACCAGAATGTTTCATAGAACAAGTCTCGCCAGACTAGATAGTATTGAATCCTATACTGGTAAGAGACAGGTAGGTCTGAGCATTGTTTCTCCAAACAGATTGCCTAAGATCTGGGAACGATATATGAATGAAGGGATAGATGAGGAGGAATTGAAGAGGGAATTGGAAGAGGGGGAGGAGGAATGGGAATAAGATATTGGAAAAATAACAGGAGGAAGAACCAGTTGGGGTGGATATATGCGATATAGGATGAATGCCAGAGAAATAAGATGTACTAGGAAAATGAGAAACATTACAGCCTTAATCTGACTGGGTCTCTTGGCAATATCTAAGACCCACATCTGGCCGAAGGCCGGCTGCGACTTGTATATAACTAACTATAGTAATTAAAGACAAAAGTGACAATTTCTCGCACTAAGATTCCTGTGTCCTACCAATATCTCTAGCTACTTATGTAAAGCCGGAGCCAATGATTTAATTAGGAAAGAAGCTGCGATAGCCTCCCCACAGAGTGCATGAGAAACTCTTCATTGGTTTCACCAATATTCTGCCACGAGGGACGTTTCCCACAATGATATTCTTGCTACGTCTTCCAAAACAAACCAAGCTCAAGGTAAGAGTATTTCCCTCCCCCCATGCAAGAAGGCTACGGCAAAAAATCCTTCATGAGCCTAGGAGCAGCAGCCCTGTCCGAACCGATACTCTGTAGTGGCTAGCCCAAACCAGCTGAGGAGGCTTCAGCCCAACGGGTCTAAAGACCAGGGATTCCTTCCTAACAATCATTGAGTACCTGTGGATTAGTGGGGCCTTAGGATCCTCGCCTCCTATCAACACAGCCAATGCTACTATTTTCCGCATACCACCCGTACTACACTCGAGACACTACTACCCCAGTATATAATATATCCCTGCATCGGCCATCAGCGATCGCGCCAACCCTCCGCTGGAAGGTAAATTCGTCAAAACCAAAACCCAACCAAAAACCAATGTTTACCGATGGCCGAGCCGAGCAAGAAGCTCCCAGCCCTGACTGCCCCGAACCAGCATATTGCAAGCTTGCACATGCACCGCGGGAGGCCATCCACACAATCAGTGTTCCCAACGGGCTAGGCCAGTGATAGGCCGGCCTATAGGCCGTAGGCTGGGCCAAGGCAGGCCGCTCTAACGATGAGCCTAGGCGGATATAGGCCGAACTCAACCGGCCTGCCGAAGCCTATCAGGCCTGGTAGGAGCCTATAGGCCTGCAAGTGGGATTTTTAGAGCTGATTGTTTTAAGAGTGGCTCAATTCCTTACAACTTTCATTGTGGTTTATTATTTTATCTCTATCCTCAGTTGCTGGTTGAAGTATGATAACTATGCGATTACCGATCCACAACCTGCTCAAAGAAGTCCAGGAAATCTACCTCCAGATTCTCCAATGCAGTCCTATCTCACAATCCTACAGTACCTTCCGATTCAGTTTCTTCGGCAGGAATCCATCAGTGAATGTGCCCACTATGACTAATTTAGTGGAATGGGAGATGAGCCGAATGGAAATCAAGGATCTGAGGGGGTTGTAGGCCCGTATTCATAGGCTGGGCCGGCCTATTAGGTGGCAGGTACTTAGCCTATACGGCCTATAGCTGGGCCCGGCCAGGCCAGGCCCAGGCTTTTCAAAGCCTGCAGGCTCCGGCCGGGCTAAATCCCCCATAGTTGTGGCAGGCCAGGCCCGGCTTCGGTTCAGCCTGGCCTACCCGGCCCGTTGGGAACACTGCACACAATATCACTCGTGTTGTAGTAGTTGTGGAAGAGTACAACTGTACAACCCCTGTACTAGATGCCGAATTCACCCTCCATAGGTGAAGGTAGCCTAACGATATCCGAGCCAACAGAGCCTCTCGCTTAGAATCGGGGGTATTCTATCAAATCATAACACTTCACCGCTGAGCTTTAGGGCTGACCGATATTATCTACTCGAAAGGGCACAGCACAGCCGAGGAAAGACCCAATGGAGTTCACTTGGTCAAGATATCATAATAGTCTTTACAAGTGGCACAGAAGATATCCTACACTTCTGCTAACATAATATCCCACCCTGAAACACATCTCTCCTGCCAACCCCTCTTCATGTCTCCCCAGCCTGATTAGCCTCCTAAAAAGGCTTTTTGCAATCTTGGACACTAGTCTGCCATCATTGGCCTGGGGGAGATGTAAAAACCTGGAGGACTAATGTACCTGCAAGAGGCTACCCACCTTGTCCAACGATTAGGAAGCTCTTTCTCCTAATGGTAGACTGTTCCTCAAAGGTGCCTGGGGATCCAGATTTCTGATTGGTATACACGCAGGTAAGAGTGCCTTCCGCAATCTACATCATATCATTACCGCAAAATAGCGCATGCCCGTGGCCTTGGCGATAATCTACTACAACACTCATAATCTGGGGGTGAGGTAAATCCGTCAAATCGGAAATCAATACCCAGGGTGGTGCTTACCAACGGGTGAGTCTGGCAACTCCATAATTTCTAATCATGCACGGAATCCACCCCTCGGGGGGGAGGTGGGGGCTGACCTTGACAAGCCTGTACATTGGGTTTGCAACCGAGTTCACGAAATATCACCCGGTGCGAGGCGGTGAGCAATATTGGGAACACAGCTGCAATGTTCGGAGCGTGAAGTATTTAAGGTTCGACCGTGATTGACCTTCGATATACTCACTGTGGTGGGCAGCAGCGGTTGGCCAAGAATAATAGAGTAGTGATTGGGCTCCTACCTATGTAGATTGAAAAGGATAAAGAGTAATAAAGAACGAATGAATTGATCAAAGTATTCGATACCGTAGTAGGAAAATAGGAATTTTCGATGAGAGTCAATAACTAAAGGAAAACAAGAAACTTTTATGGAGAGCGTTGGTGAAAAGTGAAACAGAAAGAAATGCAAGAGAAACTAACTAATGACATATGAAATCCACCAGTGTCTCATGCCCTCGACTAGCAGCCAACTCTAACATATCCAATACATCTCAGTAACAGCCATGTTCCACCATCTATATCCAATGTATCAGGCTTCCGGTGAGTGTATCGGGATTGTCTCAACTAATGCATTGGGAATGAGGCCGCTAATGGATACCACGTATCTTAGACATTCAACAAGGAGCAGAACTCAACCCTGGTAATTAACGGCACTGCGGCTGTATCTCCCCTGATTATAAGTTCAACTTAATCGGTACCACGTTCTACGATATCATCACTCTCTGCCAATTTGGCCACAATGAAGATAGAGCGCGGAATCCTAGGGTGCCGGGAGAACAAAAACATGCGCGTCCTACGTTACTGTTCACTAGATCCCCGATTTTCCAGTTTTTGTGTGGAATGGTACGGCGCCGTGGACACCATGACTCCTCTTTTTCAATCCGGATGAGGAAACCCCGAGTACGGGCGCTGAAAGACTCCTAATCCATTCTCCCCGAGGCCGGCTTGTAGTAGTGGTGGCGGTGGGAGGGCTCCTGTTGTTGACATCTCGGTAATCAGTTTGGACATATTCTCTCTTACCGCTCTCGCAAAGGGTACTACGTGGGTGTTGGCCGTTCGCCGGTCCTTATGGGGCTTCCACCCGGAGCTCCGTGGTGTGAAAGAAATTTCTTGCTACGGGATATGTTCTGCTGGTGTGTTAATGCTATGGAATTGACTGCGAGCCTGAGGCTAATGCGAGTAGTGAATGGTATGGAAGGCCTTGGTGCCAACCAACCGCCGCCCGTGCCCGCATCCGGAGTGGGGGGTGTCCTACAGATAGGGGCTAAGTAGGATATCCTACTAAGTGTAAGGGCATACGATTTCCGATAGCAGGTCCCGTACTATACGTATGATCGTTATTGGAGCTCACAATCGGGTTAAGAATCCCGGAGCTTTTGTACACCTCGCCCCCTGTACTGAAGAAGAACTCTACTATACAAGTATTTACCGCCCGTAAGGGAGGAATAAATTGTACGAGAAACAAGATAAAGCGCAGCCAAAAATTTACAGCAGGGAAAAGACTACGAGAAATAAACTGGGCCTTCTCAGGAGAATTGGACCATCTCCGCTCCAACATAGTGAACTGCATTGTACATTATACACTGAAACTCGAAAATCTTCACCCACATATAAATGGAAACCCTAATGAGCCTCGGACGGGTAGGATGAGACGACGTGTGTCCCCATCTCGCAGGAGTTCATCTGTGAAGGGTAATGTTAAGTGACAAGTTCCCGGATTAAGATACAGGGGAAGGCGGAAAGGGCGGTAATCTCCCAAGCACCCCCTAGGCCTCAAATAGTGCTGGGGCTATGGCTTGGTGAGATTGTAGCAGCACTACCACTCGCTCACGTCGAGTAGCAGCAGCGTACGAGAGCGGTGTTCGGCCCTCATTATCTGGCTTGTCGGGGTCGACCTCTTCCCGCCCGAGCAGTATATTCACCACCCCCTCGTATCCGTGCCGAGCGGCATACGAGAGCGGCGTTCGGCCCTCATCATCTCGCTTGTCGGGGTCAACTTCTTCCCGCCCGAGTAGCATTTTCACCACCCCCCCATGTCCGTTCCAAGCGGCATACGAGAGCGGTGTTCGGCCCTCATTATCTAGCTTGTCGGGATTGACCTCTTCCCGCCCGAGTAGTATTTTCACCACTCCCTCATGTCCATCCCCAGCGGCATACGAGAGCGGTGTTCCGCCCGCATCATCTAGCTCGCCAGGGTCGACCTCTTGCCGCCTGAGTAGTATTTTCACCACTCCCTCATCTCCATTTGAAGCGGCATGCGAGAGCGGCGTTCGGCCATTATCATCTGGCTTATCTGGGCCGACCCCCTCGCACTCAAGTAGTACTTTCACCACTCCCTCATGTTTATTCGAAGCGGCATATGAGAGCGGCATTCTGCCTTCATTATCTGGCTTGTCTGGGTCGACCCTGTAAATCCACAACCGAGCCTCCATGCACCCTCCCCCCTTTCACTACTTGTACACATAACCTCGCATCCGCTTCCAGTATCGCCCCCCCACCCCCTTCCCCTCCGCTCTGACATAAGCCGGGAAGAAGGCAATGCAGGATTGCTTCTAGTGCAGCGAGTGCTACCATAAACAGCATGGGTGACTTCTTGTCAGGCTTCTCTTGACATCCTTGTTTCGAAAAATTCCATATCGCCGACCTAAGTATACATACATTTTGTGGACTATAGAGTAAATCTA